ACCAGCTACGGTTCTTACTTTCTTGACTTACTGGGCGGTAATGCAAGCTAGGCCTAGTCACCAGTCTCCGCTCCATACAATACCACACTGAGCCGGCAAAGACGAATTCTTCACCTTCCAGTGGTGCCGGTGTAATCGCTCAGTATGCTCCGCATATCTAGGATAGCCAAGAAGAATCGCATTCGAATCGAAGTCAATAGCAAACGTAGAAACATATATAATCAGCGACTTCTCATCAATGTCGGTCTTGTCATTCTCAAGAGAGTCCTCTACCTTAACTTCTCCACACACCATCTCGCCTCAACGACCGATAAAGGCGTTACTCCAAATGCAAACAGGAGCTTGCCTTATTTGTTGCCGACCATCACTCACTACAAATTTACGACGCCACGTATACCTGCAAGGAAGAAATTAAGTCACAATATTCAAAGTTGGGGTCTTGGTTTATGGAGGACTGTTGCTCTAATGGGGCTACATATCTCGGGGAGGGATGGGTGATTGGGGCGTGGAAAGATAAATGGAAGAGACCTTTCGTGCGAATAACAGGTCTGATATTTTCGAGATGTTTTCGACTTTGAAACGTTTGTGGGCGCCAAGATCAAGATTTCGGTGAGTTAGCCAGGAGGACTTCTATTGTCGATGAGACAACGACACTCCCTAGTGTCCTGGACGGCACAACAGAAGTTAGGCTGAGCTACCATATAGAAATCACGCTCTGTCAAGACTTTTCTGAAATTTCAGCACAACCTTCGGGAAGGGGTTGGAAGGAGGCTAAAAAAGGCAGAGTGTGGATTTTCCGAGGTGCACACAAGTCTGCATCGCCCAGCCGGTCGGCCCCCTTGAACTCTTCAGAAGGGTCACTATGTCTTCGGATTTAGTCCTAATGTCGATATTATAGAAGCCCGGCACCTAGTAGTTTTTGCGACTTTTCCCTACTACCATACACCCGCAAATAGCCATCGTTTCGTTTGCTGGGGAGGGGATATATTGAAGGACAAAGAGCTCCTCTAAGTGTACGATTGAATGAGGGCTTGTGAGGGATGGTACTGTTTGAAGGGAGCTGTGTAGGGGGCATAGGAGGGGATATATAACTGGCATAGGTATCCTTGGCCTGTAGGCAGAGAGGACCTGCATGTCCTCTATAGTCATAGACTCAGACAGGACAATAATTTGAATTGATAAAAACACTAGATTGTCTTAGCTGCAAGTTAAGATCGTTCTGCCTTGATAAAGGTCAAAATGTAACCCATCATGAATCTCTGTGACCAAACTGAGGCTCGAACTCAGGACCTTGTCCGTGTTAAGGACACGTGATAACCAACTACACCATCCGGCCATATGACACTCAAGGGGATATATTACTATTATACTTCTGATTACAACTGGGACACCCTATATTTTTAAAGGCGCTTGAGCTCAAGCAGTGTAGAGCTGAATAAAGCGATATCATCATGGACACATTTATTTTCCATCCCTGTCGGAATGACTACGGTTTGGCTTCACAATCGATCGTATTGGTTACATAGAGAGTGTTGGTGTTCGCGAGTTATTTATTCAATAGTTCATTTAACTTGACAATACGGGAATCGCATCCATATTCGCTTTCCGATTTACGTCTAACTAAACTGGTCCCAAATGAGGGAAAGAACGCATCACAGCTGTGGTGATTTAAATTTGAATTTGAAATCTCTTACGTGACAGGATAGATGGGCTTTTGCAGCTCATTGCTATCCACATGACCGGCAATGAAGCCAAAAGCCACAAAAGAAATGAAAAAAAGCACCGTAATTCAGACATTTATGGTGCTCTGCGCCGCATCTCCATCTTAATAACATGGCTCCTCGCGAGTTAGAATAAATCTCAGCATGGATACCCCCCAACCTGTTCATTCTTCGGAAGACTGTAGCATCTACTATTAGATAGGAATTGGAAAAACTTCTGCCATCCCTTCTCCCCGATCATCTCCTTGGTTCCAGGTGGGGCTTATTTCTCACAGCCTCTCCAACGTTGCAAAGCAAATCGGCACTCTGAATAATGCCTGGGCCTTTTCTCTCGGCCGCAAATACATTTCAGATCTTCATGTTCGTAGTTGAAACGTCGATGATAGTCGGCTTAGTCTCCGTGGCTAGCCCTTGCCGAAATTAGACGGTGGTACACCCATCTTGGTAGAGCCAGTTCCGGTGGCTGCTTACAGCGCATGAAGAGGTCTAGGTCTTTGTATCGTTCCGGCCGAAACTTCTGCCACCACTCATCCACGAGTTCTTGACCCGGCATTTTAACTAGTCTCCCTAGTGCCGCAAAGTTTAGATTTTGAGATTCTCCACTGAGCAAAGCTGTGGTTAGTGACCAGCTGAGAGATCTCAAGGCCGATTTGGCCAGCTCATTGGACTCTTCATTGCCTTTGATCCCATCATGCTCATTTGTGACCTCTCCACTCGTTCTTCCCACGTCCCAGCTGCCTGTCCTCCCTCAATATGTAAAACCCCATTATAGCAACGGTCCCCCATAGACCAAGACCCGAGCTTTGTAGATTATGAATTAATTTCCTCCTCCGGGTATACATAGCATCGTAATTTTGTAGTGGGAGATGGCCGGCTTTTGATGAGGCAAGTGCCCGATTACAATCGGAGTTACGCCATTATCGGTATTTGAGGCGAGGTGGTGTAGTAAGGTTGAGGTGGAGGACTCGCGTGAGAATAATAGGTCAAACATTTGTCGAGAAGTCGTCGATTTTAGATATGCTCGAGGTTGCTTTCGACTTCGATTTGGATGCGATTCTTCTTGGCTATCCCAGATATGCAGAGCATACTGAGCGATTATACCGGCACCACTAGTAGGTGACGAATCCGTCTTTGCCGGCTATGAAGAAGTGAAGTTACTATGATAATTATGTTACAGATTGGGAGAAGCTCGTCCCTTATCCCCTAGCTAGTTCGCTTATAAACCTATCACGTAACCAGTATGCAGCGCACCAAAGTGTGCTCCAAACAATGCAGCTATGCCATTTATCCTATGCTATTGTTATTATCAATTCATTTTATTGTCCTGTCTGGGTCTATGACTATGTAGGACATGCAGGTCCTCTCTGCCTACAGGCCAGGGATACCTATACCAATAGTATATCCCTTCCTATGCCCCCTACACAGCTCCCTTCAAACAGTACCATCCCTCACAAGCCCTCATTCAATCGTACACTTAGAGGAGCTCTTTGTCCTTCAATATATCCCCTCCCCAGCAAACGAAACGATGGCTATTTGCGGGTGTATGGTAGCCGGGAAAAATCGCAAAAACCACTGGGTGCGGAGCTCCCCTATTACGAAGAGGTTGAATAGCTGGGCGCAGGAGACCCGTGTATACCTAAGAGCGTCTCTCGACCTTACTAGTAATTTCCTTACTCTTCCTCTGATTCATGCCGCATGAGAGACCCAAGGTTGTCAAAATTTGTTGGAGAAGTCTTGGTTGAGAGTAACTGCCGTGAAGAGCCCAGTCTCGCTTCCTGCATAGGTTTCGGATATACTGTTATCGATTAGCTCGTGCAGTTTGCTTACCATACTAGCTTGTAGAACCGGAGTTTATGATGACAACATACCATTTTGATAATGAGTCGATATCTGCTTTTCTTGAAGGCTGAAAAGTAAATTTCTTTGCTTTTACAGGCTTTTTTGCCCGCCAGTTGGTGTCATACGATAGAATACAAGGAGGGCATCTTTAACAATCGTTGCAGCGTTTGCTACTACAATGTCTCTCCTCATTCCCAGCATCATTATCGTTGCCGTGATCGTCGTGTGAGTTATCGGAAGCTTATCTTCGACGGAGGGAGAGATATCTCAGTTCAAAGTTGGAGGGTTTTACTCAATATCGACTATGTAGACTCTAAAGTAGCTGCTAGAGGTCCGTAGGGGACACCGTAGACAGGTGTTGAGTCATTGTCCGCCTGAATTGCGAGGAAATTTCTTGATTTTCAATCATACGCGGCCCAAGACATCGCAGTAGAGGGGAATGTTTGAGCGCTTCGCATAATATTCTGGTAGAACACTCAAGATCAGGCGAGTGATTTTCGGAGATTATCGAGAAAGTATTGGGAACCTTCTTGTGCCAAGATAAGAAGCTACTGGTAAGATTGGAATTTATACGAAATGGTAATTCCTCGAAATGGATTCTACGGGCTATTATCAAATGGCTATCCATCCCCAGATTCATGTCATAGATTTTTCCTTGCAACGTGTAAAAACAGGAGAATTCAACTGCAAGTTGTAAGGGCCAATGGGAACCTCATATTTTAGAAAGTCTTGGTCTCAAGTCGAGAAGTGAAACGTCGACCACCCGTGACGTCAAGTCTGGAGATCCCAGCCCTATGATAGCCTGACGGCTAGGGCCGACGCATGCGGGATATCATAGGCCACGGCTCAGTAACAAGATACCATAGTGAGTTGATTTAGGAACGACCGCTCACTACATTTAGTTAACGGTTGTGGAGTGAAGAGTGCACCAGTTTTCCTCTTGTGTAAGGAGAGCCCCGCACCCAGTGGTTTTTGAGACTTTTCCCTGCAGCTACACACCCGCAAATGGCCATCGCTTCGTTGGCTGGAGAGGTGAGATAATGACGGGATAACGGCTCCTCTTAGTGTGTACTCGAATGAAGACCTGTGGAGGTATTACTGCTAGAAATAAGTCGTAAAGGAGGTATAGATACTCCTGGCCTGTAGGTAGAAAGGACCTACATGTCCTCACATATTTATAGACTTTTTAGGACAATAAACACCCACTCACCCATTCCTCTTGTGTAGGAAGTTGCATTTATTCCATTGGTTTGTAAATGCTAGATATGTGGTGTGTTCATTTGGGCGGTTATTTTATGCCTGAGGCATTTTCGCAAAGTGAAATGTCATGCGCCTTTTTTGCCAGTTTTTACCGCTCAGCCACGAGAATAGTCGCAAAAAATATTGTTAAAGATAAACGCGTCTGGATGTCCTAACCGTACAAAAATAGCGCAGAAAATCATGGTCCCCAACATCAAACGCAAAATCGAAGATGAGTTTATTCTTACCCTCTCAGACAAGGAAAGTGAGCTATCTGAGCAGGAGACCTCGAACCCGCACCCGCCCACTAAGAAACACAGAACCAACGATACCTCGAAATCTAAAAAATGTCGCGATCCAAAAAAGCCAAAAAAGCTAAGCCACGCTTCTCAGGCTGAAGAAAATGAAGGGGTATGGGGACTCAAGGATGAAGACGATGGTGCTATGGATTCTGAATTTGAATTCCAGCTAGAAGACGGGATAAAGGGTGGGTTAGACGATTTCAAGGAGTGGGGATTTGAGCATGTACAAAAAAGCCTCAATATCAATGGCAATGCCTCTGACAAACGAACGGTTGATATTGATGATATAATTTCGAGGCGAAGAGAAAAAAACCAGGTCAAAGGAGTGCCGCTTGTGGAGAATGTCTCTGAGGATGATACAGCTAAAGAAGAGACAATAGAACCAGGGGAAGAGTACGAGCTACTAAACGAAGATGGCTTTGGGATGGGCGTCGGATCCGACGTAGAAGAATCTGCCGATGAGATGGAATCTGAGTCACAGAGCGATAATGATGGTGATGATAGCTCGGAAGAACTTGAGCGAGAATCGGAAGCTAGTCCTGCACCACACCCAGATGATCTAGATCCTGAAGAGGAAAGTTCAAACGAAAATGATGAGAATGCAGAGGAGGCTGCACGGAGAAAAGCATTTTTTGCACCAGAAGAAGTTCCTACAAACGACGCAAAAACTGCGCCTGAAACAATGACATTTCAGAGTATGTCGTTATCCCGACCTATCCTTCGGGGTCTCTCAGCCGTTGGATTCACGAAGCCAACTCCAATTCAAGCAAAGTCAATCCCGGTTGCCTTATTAGGAAAAGATATTGTTGGTGGAGCTGTAACGGGGTCAGGAAAAACTGCAGCCTTCATCGTACCGATCCTGGAGCGTCTTCTATATCGACCAAAAAAGGTACCCACAAGTAGAGTAGCTATTCTTATGCCGACCCGTGAATTGGCAATACAGTGTCACGCCGTGGCTGTGAAGATTGCAAGTTTTACCGATATAAAATTTTGTCTAGCAGTCGGAGGTCTCAGTCTTAAGGCTCAAGAAAAAGAGCTTCGGCTCCGTCCAGACGTTATAATTGCCACACCCGGTCGATTCATTGACCACATGCGAAATTCTGTGAGCTTTACGGTTGATACATTAGAAATATTAGTCCTTGACGAAGCTGATCGAATGTTAGAAGCTGGATTCGCTGATGAGCTAGACGAAATAGTTAAGACAATTCCGAAATCTAGACAGACCATGCTATTCTCCGCAACAATGAATTCATCTGTTGATCATCTTATTCGAATCGGTCTCCAAAGACCTGTTAGACTACTAGTAGATTCACAGAAACAGACAGTGAAAACGCTGGTTCAAGAATTTATCCGCATTCGGCCAGGAAGGGAATGTAAAAGGATGGGATATCTGCTCTACTTGTGTAAAAATGTATACGTTGATCGAACAATTATTTTCTTTCGACAGAAGAAAGAGGCACATCGAGTAAGAATAATCTTCGGTCTATCTGGGTTGAAGGCTTCCGAGCTTCATGGTAGCATGAGCCAAGAACAGGTAAGTTTCCACCTCTACAACACGCGGTTACAACTAACAGCCCTAGCGTATCATAAGTGTCGAGTCATTCCGAAATGGAAAGGTATCTTTTCTTCTAGCTACCGATCTTGCTTCTCGAGGTCTTGATATAAAAGGCGTTGATACCGTTATTAATTATGAAGCGCCCCAGTCACATGAAATATACCTCCATCGTGTCGGTCGTACTGCGCGTGCTGGTCGTCAAGGTAGGGCATGTACTCTAGCCGCCGAAACCGATCGTAAAGTTGTTAAAGCAGCGGTCAAAACCGGCCGCACTCAAGGTGCCAAGATTGTCAGTCGAGTAATAGATGCGAGCGAGGCTGATATATGGGCTAAAAAAGTTGATGATATGAAAGATGAGATAGATGAAATATTAATAGATGAGAAAGAAGAGAAGCAGCTCGCCCAGGTTGAAATGCAGGTTCGAAAGGGTGAAAATATTATCTTACATCAAGATGAAATTCAGGGACGGCCCAAACGGACGTGGTTTGAAAGCGAGCAGGAAAAAATGGCAGCTAAACGAGCTGGCAAACTAGAATTGAATAAAACATCAGAAATAACTGGTAAGAAAAGTGGCAAGCTGAGTAACAAGAAAAAGAAGTTACTGGATGATCGAGATGTAAGACAGGAGGGCAAAGTATGGAAAAAAGGCAAGGCAGAGAGGGAAGGCAAAGTTGGAAAAAAGAGACCGGAAGGAAAGCCCATGAAAAAAAGTAAGAAACGCTAGGTATGCTACGTCGAAAACTACATTTTGCAGATGATATCTACAATTCATATAAAAGTTGTAGGCGTTATGGAAATATCAGATAAGGGATCAAAAGCAGATTTTGAGGTCGGGTGCAAAATACCATCTTTGTTCCAGCCTAGTCTCACCAACGGTGATTATCTTAATAGACCCCTTTTCATATCCTATTACTATGTTCTTCGCCTAAGCCTGGCCAAACCCTTGCACTAGTCCACCCATGCTCCTCATAGCAAGTTGTATGGCAACATAGATAGCTCTTAAAGGAAGAAATTACGATGTATTTTCTAAACTTGGAATACATCTTGCAGTAACATCTCGACGTTTCAAGAATTCTACCAAACACCAACTTTCAGGAGAAAGTCTGTAAATTAAACCTAGTTACACGCGAAGGCTTCAAGGCTTAGCAGAATGGATCAAAGGTACCTGCTTGACTTGTCTCAAGCTGGAAAATAACCATATCCAGCCAATTAGCAGGTCCGCGCGAAAAATTTGATCGACCCGTAGATTTTGTGCGGCCGACTTCTTTGAAGAGGAATCGTGAGGAGAGGAAATTTTTGATTCGTGGGAATTCTGGATCATCTTGCCTCAAAACTGGAACCTGGAAAATAACCTGATGCCAGATACCGGACCCCTCGCATTCATTGACTCTATCACCATGTGGATTTATAAATTTGCAGGCTTTTTTGTAAGCATAGGCTGTGCTCAGAGTGTGAATGAGTCTATCTAAAAGATTGCGACCTACGCCTTGCCGCTGGTAATCATGCGCTACGAAGAGTTGCAAAATTGATGTGTATCGAGAACGACCCATGACACTATCTGAAAAGCCGTAATTATATCGCTCGCTCAAAGCAAAGCCAATAATTTTGTCGCCATTCACTGTGCCTTGATGTAACTCTTGTGAACCCTGATTAGAAGAAATCACCAACTCTGGGGGCTCACCAGCCACAGCAACGATGAACGGGAGTTTCTCGTTCTTGTTTTTATTAAACAATCGCATAGTATCATCTTTTGAAATTAGTACCTGATCTTCGGTAATATTGCCTTCAGCAACATGTCTGTTGTAAATTTGAGCAATCTGTTCAGAATCCCTTTTCTCTACCGGGCGTAGGTACATGGCAATTTTTGGGCTGAAAGGGTTAAATTCTAGTTCGGGTCGTGAAGTTTCTGGCATGTTTTTCTCAGCTCGTAGAATTTTCTTCGCAAGCCGCTTCTGGTTATTCATTAGCTTTTCGCATTTAGCTTGAAATAGAAGCATTGAGCTATGAGAGGTTTGATTCAAGCGCTTCGCCTCAAGTTCAGCGGTTTCGCCAGGTGCTGTAAACTATTTAATACTTTTAACAAATATAGGTTATGCTTTTGCTTACTAGGAATCGAAATTTCATGGTCTAAAGCGGGCTTAAGTGAGTTACCATCAACATAAAGTTCTCCTGATAACCAAAATTTATTATTTTCAAACCCAGTGGGTCCGACAGGTATATCTCTGTTTTCTCTCCATTCAAGAATATAACTGTGCATAAATCCATTATTGAATTTTGGTCTATCGACTTCCCAGTCACAAGGAGGTGGCATTCTTGTCCCAGCAAAATCAACATGCTCTCGTATAGGATCACCGCCTTGACAGGCACGCACATTTTCTTTCTTCTCGGTTTCAAGAACTTTGTCGTTATTTCTACTGCACGAATTGCTTCCAATTCTTGATTTGACACTAAGTTTTTTTTCAATAGATGTGGTGGTCTCACATTTGGAACCCTCTGGGAGAACTGCTGCTTCCCGTACCGGAACTAGACAGATTTTTGAATCTCCTATATCCGTAGTCTTTTCCCAGGAAAGAACGCCATCATTACTTGTTACAACAATTGCAGGCAAATGCAAAGATTGATCAACGAGTTTGTTGATTAGAGGGATACTCTTTGAGCGGGTACTACATTTAATAGATGGTTTAGAAATACTTTGCCGCTGACTCTGAAGGTAGTTATTTATGTGATTACGAGTCCTAGCTCGAAGTTCAGCATTCTCAAGGTGAAAAGCACGATACGCGGAAGAATTTAGACGGCCTTCAGTGATAGAAATTCCAGGTGAAATGTTTTGAATTTGGCATGATCTTGAATGAGTATCATTATTACCATTGGATCTGAAATAATTTGATCTGCTAGTTGTAGCTGTAATTATAGGTAAGCAGGCTATGCCACAATTTGACTTCGTTAGCTTACAGGTCTCAGGGTTCGCCTTAGAGTATGACTTATTACTAATGATGGGAAACGGTTTTAAATTTGTGGCTTTTTTGCCTGAAGAACTGATTGATGGTCTTAATGCATCTGATGTAAAAAGAGATCCTAGTTCTCTTGTATCAGTGTCGAGGAGCCTATTTTTTCGAGGTATACTAAAATTATATAGCTGTTCTAGAACATTAATCTTTGATAAATTTAATGATTGTGTGTCGGAATTTTTCTTAGAAAAGGGGGTTTTGGCTTCATTTTTGAAACTTGGCTTCAAAACAGCAGTAATACTAATATCAGATGAGTTTTCCTCCGGGTCAAAGGATGAAACAGAGATCGCTTGACTATTTAAGCCGGTATATAATTGATGATCTGGCGATTGATAAGCCTGAAAGCCATGTCTGTTTGAATTTTGAGTATTGCACTCAGGTGTTTCATAAAAATTCTTTACATTATTATTTGAATGGGTAGGACACTGAAAATTTTGACCAATTTGATATCTGTTTCCGGAAACCGAAGGTCTTCTGTGATAGTTTGATCCAATTTTTAGACTCATACTTCAAAATAAAATTGCTACTTTCAGCGCTGTGTAGTATTTCGGCTTTTCGTTCAGTGATTTTTTCTACTATTATCTGACAAGTAGAGCTAAGGAATTTTGGGATAACTGACTAAGCTATTGTAGAATATATTTTGACTAGAAAAAGTGGTTGGGTCGAAAGAATCTACCGTTTTTGATAATTTTTACTGTATGGAACAGGATAGAGGCATAATATAGCCACTTAGATGGGTTGCAATATTTTGAAGTGGAATCGAGAGATTGGATTCTCGGGAAATTCACTCAAGAGCCTTGCCTGTCCCAAAACTCCGAACATTAAGAAAAGTAAAATGAACACCCATGGATTGTTACCTCATAATATCCTTATCTCCTTACCTGCTTATGTTTGAGCATTAGTTCAAACTTTGGCCCAGAACAGAAACATTTTATTTGATTAAATTGTGGGAAATTTAAAAATTTCGCACTATAATACTTTGGATCATGAGAAATATGAAGAAGACAGGTTACATCTGGGTGTTTGAGTATCCTTCAGTCTTATTTTTCTAGTCATATCTAAATTACCGTCGTTGTTTGTTCACAAGTCCCGTGAAATGTATAGATGAGATCGTGTCGGGACCGTATGGCGAACATATGACGATCCCGCTACAAACACGCTAGCGAGGACCCACGCATTAGCTGTGAATCCTAAATGATCTCTTGGGCTGTGATAAGTAGATAAATGGATTAAAAACCATCGTTTTTTGCACGATCAATACAATCGATCATGAACTCAACCCATGGTCAATTCAATAATCGTATTTTATAAAACCCTATGAAGTCCTGAGCTCAAGATCGGAGTCGAATATGGGCACAGGGCCGGTAGAGCCGGCGGGGATCATAATGCATACACCTCATTCATTCACACAGGGTGAAGTTGCATTAAAAGTGTAAAAGTCAACTACAAAACTTGTAGCAAAGGATGAAACCAAGAATTAATAGAATATTCCTCGCCCGTTCCCTTTCCTGTCAGATCTTACAAATAGTATTTGCTCATCTGTGCTAGTATCAGAAGGTGAATTCGCAGATAATTATCAATATCAGCTGAATTCCTGCTAGATTTTATTGAAGTATCAAAAAATTCTCCAATAGTCGCTGCACTCTCTCAAACTTTTTATTCGAGTTCAAGAACTCTAAAGCACAATCCCTCTATCATAGGAACATCTTTTGAAGAGGTGACGACCGTCCCTTCAGCTGTAACTATTGCTTGGGTTACTGCTGCAAACCATCGTTCCTCAAGTTCGTAGACCACTAGAATCAGCTCTTTATTTACAATTTGATCCTTTGTCGGCTCGATAAAGAGTCCCGAAAATCCGATCGGGGAGGTCTCCCACAGTTTCGATATCTTTTAGGAGTCTTGCACCCCGCTTCTGAGTACATTTTGGATCCACGGTTTCAGCATTCGGGAGCCCACAAGCAACCGCATTGTGGCATGAAAGCCAAGACAGCAATTGTATTATTCATTCTGTGGGAGAGGTTGAATAAGATTCGCAGCTCTAGAGTTGTTGGAAAGGCAAAATCCAAGTCGAGGCGTAGATTCACGTGGAAACATGCTTTTAATTTCTAGAGAGGCGCTCCAGATCTCCAAGTTCCATATATGAGAGCCAGAAAAAGGGGTAATTTTGTCACTCGCATAATTTTTCGCCAGCCTTCTGGATTGATGTTGCGATTGGATCTGAGATTGTATGTAAGTTTTTACTGGGACTGCGGCAATTTGAATTGTAACCAGGTTGAAAGCTAGTTTCTGTGTAGTTTTTGAATCTTTCTTCGTACAGAATCATCATTTGTTGCTAATTCAAAGCCAACCTTGAACCGCTAATCCGACGTGATATTATTGGCTTGGGCACCGAGCAGTTTTGACAAAGCTTATCGCATGCAAGCGGGTGATGTGATGGCTTATAGTCCGATAAAGCGCCTGCAGCCTGTGCTATTCAGTACAGACATGCTAATTACACCAGCGCTGAGTCATGCTGTTATTCAATCGGGCACTACCAGTGCACGCAGCATTATTTTTAACTAGCTTACACAATAATAATGAGGGGTTGACTAGAGGATAACTACTAGTCTTCAGAATAGAAGGATCTTGTGTATAAATGAGATGTTGGATGAAATGTTAATTTTGATCTTCAGTTAGTAAATAAATTACCTTTTGACATACAAACCCTCAAGCTTTCTATATTGAAATTGTTACAGGTGAAAGAAGTCGGTATGGATGGTATGTCTCGAGGTGAAGAAATTGTCGCTTATCGACCTTCGTTCTGAAGTCAGCACTTTTCCTTTTCGTTGTCATAAAAGCTGTTACTATTGTTTATGACGGCGCAACGCTACGACATATGCAGCCTCGAGCTACGGCAGTCCAAGTGATCTCTAGTGCTGGAGCCCGGGATGTTTATTTCTGTAACCTTGAGAGGATGCTTGCTGGGACAAGCAGGGAGGGCTAGTAATTTTGAACACGGGCCAGATTGTAAGAGCTGGTAAATGGCCGTTCGTAAGTAGAGTTTGATACTGTGTATAAAGATGTTATTCTCGCTAGTCGGATAAAGCGGGAGGACTGCTTCGACACCACTCATCGCTGTTAAGCAGGTTAACTTACTTGTTAGGGTCATAATCAGTCATCTCTTCTTCAGGAAGAAGGGTTCACGTCCATCTAAGAAAGGCCTAACTCGCAAATATGCTTCTTAAATTTTGCACAAGTGTTGTTGATATCGGAGACAATGGTCTCCATTCTGTGCCTGTGGCAGTTTTCGACGTTGAGAACTTATTCCTCACATGAGATATATATGAAAACCTCCCGATGGCCGAAATTTTGAGAAAATAAATAAAAAATTATCCTGAGGAGATAGAGAGGGAAAAGAAATAATATTTAAAATTTCAAATTTTTATAGATTGTGCGTAGCCTTGTTAGCTTGAAAATTAAAGTGCTAGCAAATTAGAGCTCTCTTCAATTTAATAGGAGCTTAAACACGAGTGGGGCCGAGCTGGATCGGTTTACCTTCCATTAAGTACATGAGCCTCGTCCCACCTGGGTAACCGTACCAACTCAAACTTCACCTAGCTGTTGAACATATCAAGTCCAACCATATAGAGAGAGCCCGACTTTGTTACGCTGGAGCCCAGGTTCCTCTCCAGACTCAGCCACGGCCACCACGGGTCAAAGCTCTCATCACCTTCCCTTTTTCAATTTCTCCCTTAAGTTCAGTCCCGGCATCTCCTCGTCTCGTCCAGGGGTCTTTTTCTTCGCTGGAAGTCTCCTCGATTTTCTGACCCGATTTATGTTCCTCAACTGTAGCGCTTCCTTGATCTTTGGGCCAATCTTGTTATCTTTGAAATTTCGGGAATTTTCCATCCTGAAGACCTTGCCCTATCGCTGCAGTACACCTAGCTACAGAAGCCGAAAACACATCAAATGGCTCAAGACCAAAAATACTGTGCATCAGCTTTTGTCAAATACTATGGTTGCTGTGCCGGCGAAGTGTCATAGGTATATCATCAGTAGCGCTTCGTCGCAGGTCGAGTGGTTAATACCCTTGGCCAAGTTATAGTCAGATTTAGAGCAGATACTTAATTAAAAGTCCCCTAGCATACGATAGCCTGCGGGAGTGAGATTTCTTACTGAAACATTGATGAATTCTTGGAGAGATTCGGAGATGATGAGATTATTTTATTAGGAAGGATCTCCGAGGAAAATTTGGGATAATAAAGATTGCCAATTATTTTTATGCAGACATGATAGAGGTATTATGCTGTCTGCGCCTCTTATTTGAAATGTAGATGAGGGATTTTGTTGGGTTGTGTAGTAGTGAAATCTCTACATGTCGGGTATTCGACCAAAAGCTTGCCAATGCCATTCCTCTAGACCGACATCTCATCGGAAACTTTTGAAGTCATCCTTACACATAACTGAATTCAGATTGTTTGGAAATATTTCAGTCCCAACTTCGTAGAGGATATAATTGACGGTCGTTTTGTCCCCGTCGTTTGACTAACCTGGTGCTCCATTTGGAAGTGGTTTTAGCTTAAGCAAGAGAAGTTTCCGATCATGTGACAATTGATTATACATTTAGAGCTTCAATATTCTTACTGGCAAATTTTTATCATTTAGATTATTTAAGGAAAATACCAAGAATGCTTTCGATTCTCAGAAAAGCTAGACTTAAAGATAAGGAGATGAGAATTTTGATGCTGTGAGATCCTGACGAAGTAAGGAAGGTAGATGGCTTACATGCTAATAATAGGGGACTCGATAATGCTGGGAAAACGACTATAGTCAAGCGAATTATGAATGAAGACATAAGTGGTATTAGTCCAACACTCGGATTTACTATTAAGACTATAGAGTATGAAGGGTATGTGGAACCAAGTAACTGAACTAATCTGACGTAGACTTTAAGGTACAAACTTACTATCTGTACGCACACTAAACACTAAGATGCTTAGTTATTGACAATGACAGGGGATGTCGGCGGACAAAAATCCCTTCGATCATATTGGAGAAATTACTTTGAAAAGACTGACGCTTTGATTTGGGTCGTTGATGCTACTGATCGTTTGCGTTTAGATGTTTGCCGTGAAGAGCTTTCTGCTCTTCTTCAAGAAGAGGTGAGAACACAAAACCCCTACAGATCTAGTCTCCTAACCAAATTGGCCACAGAGACTATTTGGAGCAAGTCTTTTGGTCTTTGCGAACAAAACAGATATCAAGGGAAGTATGGATAACTCAGAAATACGAGACGTACGTTAGTCAATTCAGGACAAGATAGCACTAAGCAAAAGTTGCAGGGATTAAAGCTCGACGCCATCAAGTCGCACAAATGGTGCATTCTACAATGCAGCGCTGTGACAGGCACTAACCTCACCGATGGCCTCTCTTGGATTTTAAAGGATGCCAAGTCACGTCTTTTTTCCTTCAACTAGGGCACTACAGCAAGCTCCTAAACTACCAACGAAGGAGAAAAAACACCCTAATAAAAATATCATACGAGTCTCTTCCGAGCACAAGGTCTCGAGGGAAAGGGACAATCAAATGGGTAATAGTAATGTAGAATACAATTTACCCACCCCACATCAAGACAACTTGAAATAAACCCAGGGTAGATGAAACGACAAAATTGCCTCAAATCGTGCAGTGTAGACTCTTTACCGTATTTTTATCAGATTAAAATTCTGATCTTCTTCATAGCAGCAGAGGCTATAATTTCCTTATCAAAATCAAAGTATGTTTAGCTCCAAAAAGAACGGTAAAGCACCTCTTTCGTGAAAGATGTAATGTTATTTGTTATCTCGATAGTTGCATAAGAATTATTACGATCGATCCTTTTTAACAAGAGACGCTGTTAACTCTTCGTGCCATCAGATTTTAGAAGGCGTAGTGCATTTTAATCAACTTTTAAAAACCACATTTTTTTAAGCAATCCAGCTATGAAAAATTAAATATGTGTTCCAGATAACCCAAGCTCCATTAAAATCTATCCCAAAGTAGTGTTCTATTTTAATTCTCTTGTGTGTTACCGTATATTTGAGTGTTTCCAGATATTTCTAAAGAGGTCCCTTTCACTACCTGGTTCGGAAAAGAATTGAGAGTGTTCAAGTTTCTATTCCCTAGCAGGTTCTGTATCTAGCCTTTCAAATTTTTACAGAAAAGAACCAGATTCTGGACACCCTGTTTTTCTGTCCACAAGAGTTACAAGTAATATCCTCTATCTTCACTTTAATCTTAAGGAAATCTCTAGTGTCTCGAATTCGAGTGTTTGCTAGATATATTGCTATATCTATTTCCGTGCTGTGGCTATCGAGGTAGCGAATTTGAGGGAAAGATTGGACATATTTATCTCTGCTGGTATCCTGCAGTACTGAGCTAGTCTTCAGGCTTTTCAATTCGTATATGAGCTACGAGGTACATTTCTGTTTCCAAGCCTCTAATTGCCGTTCCATGGAATTTCAAATCAAGAGAATGTATGATGTTGGCCCATCTTAGATGGCTTTCTCTTCCGGCCTCCTTAAGCCAAAAAAACGTGCCAGCTCGTTCCCTTCAATTATTCTGTGAGCTAGGCCCCAAGCGCTTGACTCTTAGCCGACGAAGTAGGCTCAGTTAATACTAGGTAAAAACAATGAAATCCCTTCAGTTGTATCACGCTTACGACATCGTAGAGCTAGTAACGCATGAGTCCGAACCCCCTTCTAAATATTGTTCACGTGATCTCATTGGATAGTAGATTCAGGAAGATAGACGCTTGTGTAGCTCATTCAGTTTTCCATTGTACAGAATACAAATCTTTATAGTTGGATTCACCCGTACGAAGTGCTGTCGTGATCAGTCCTTTCACATCATTGCCCAAAGCGTATTAATTCAACTTCAGTTATTCAGCTTTGACATATGATCAAAATTCTGTATACACTTTCAGTGACTTTTGCCATGCTAGAAGCCTCTATTCACTGGTGCTCATCAGAACTTAATATTGATAGCTATGTTTATTGAAAAATTATTGAATCAAAGTTGGTGAATAGTTTCTACAGAGTTTCAACTCCTTTCTCTGGGTAGATGTGTTTGCTTAATTTTGAATCTAAGCACAGCGTTGTGCGTGCTCAGCCGGGAAATGAAGACTCAGCACTCATGAGTGTTGAGCTCCTCGAATCAACAGCTCTCACTGTAGAGTCTGCAAGACCAAAATAAGTCAAAAACTAGCCGAGAGGACTTCTGTTGTCAACAAGTCTACTGCACTAACCAGTACCCAAGCCGGAACAAAGCATTTTGGACATGCTACCATACAGCAATCAATCTCTATCAAGACTTGTCTACTGTCTCATTGCGATTATCAAATTTTCCCGTGGAGCAAATTATTGATAGAGTTAAGAAATATCTAGAAAGGCAGGGGGTGAAATTCCCAGATACACAAGTCTACAGCGCTTAGCTATGCGGCCTCAAACGCTTAAGATGGGTGGCTATGTCTTTGTATTTAGCCCTGTTGTTAGTAACAGAAGAGACCCACACCCAGCGGTTTTTGCGATTTTTCCCTGCTGCCATAAACCTGCAAATGTCCATCGTTACGTTGGCATGAGAGCGGAAATAATGAAGGTCAAGGGGCTCTTCTAAGTGCATGGTCGAATGAGAGTTTGTGAAGGGTGTTGCTGTTTGAGCGAAGCTGTATGGGAGGCAAAGAATACAACATTATTATATATAGGTTTGTGAGGTCATGAGAGAGGCCTGATAGTTCAGTGGTAGAATTCTTGCTTTGGGGTACCAAAATTGTAAGAGGTCTCCGGTTCGATCCCGGATTAGGCCCTCGCTTAAGTTTTACCCTGCACAGTTGTAATTTCAATTAGGAAATAAACGGATTTTTTGATCTGATTTGATTTCATTTGGCCCGTTCAGGTACCCTATGGGCCCATGCAAGTATAATGAGCTATAATATTTGCACAGGAGCAAACCCATTTCGGTAAGAACCCCCTACATCTGTCTGTCTCGGGTCTATTTTTTTTCTGAGGTATCCTACAGGAAGTGCGACTACACTGTTTATACAGTGTGAAATCCGTCTTATCCTTGTCCTCATTGTTTCATCTTTTCGTCCAACACCATTTCTACTTCTCCAAGCCGGAATTGTTCAAACCAGCCTTTTGCCAGGATCCATTTTGTAATTCTGTCTATGTCATCTGGGCTATTCATCATTGCCGCAAATGACCTGTCTTTTGCCTTTCGAAGCACCTCTCCTCTTCCCATTGCCCACTGAGGACACGCCAAGACCAAATGTCTGACATTTTGAGACGGATATCCACACTGACATTTGGATTAATCACTGCGGGGGCTTTCCTTCGATATAGATAAGAATTGAGACCAATGTGCTCACTTCTTATCTAAATTGCAATACTGCTTTGGGCCCTACTAAGGTTCCGGTGGATATCCGAGGGTGTGTTTCTATAGGTAATCCTTTTTCTGCCTGTTTTCTCATCTGCAATAATATTTGTGGCTTTGACATAGATGGATTATTATTATTTGCCTTTAGGTAGAGAGGACCTGTGTTTCCTACATAATCTTAGACACAGTCAGAGCAATAAAATAAACTAATAGTTACGCTACTCATGCAGGTCAGTCGTGTGAAAACTTGTACTTTGTAGTTTCCGTCTCATTCTTTGTGTATAAAGAATAACTCAATTTTTCCTGATTCTATCCGACCTCCTCTCACTATGCTGATTTCCTTATCCTACATCCAGCCGTACAGTGATAGGAGATCTCCACTTTAATAATTCAACAATATCACTACTGCTACCCCATAGGTGATGTGATTATCTCTAAGTAATCACGTGTTCCGACATTTGCAACTCTATAATAGAGAAAATCTTTCCTATTTCTTGCCGACATTCTTGGTGATGAAGGGGGACTATTCCCAACACCTGATAGTGGTGTCCCCTACGAACCTCCAGCTCTCACTGTAGAGTCTGCAGAGCCTAGATTGAGTGACAAAGTCCTCACCTCGATGAGGATCCCAATCGCTTTCGCGGTCTGTATCGTCTTCATCCCTAAGCACATCCCCCTATCACAATTATCATGAAACCTACTGTTGGAAATTCTGACTCTCGAATTTAGGACTCAACCATTACCTGTTTCGTCTCAGGTTCCCGACAAGATCGACTCTCTCTACACATGTCACGAGTGCGCTAATCGCGCCTACTGTTGCATTTACAATTGGATATTTACGTACTATAATGTACCTTGGATCATCATGGTAGATGAGAGGTGGCTGGTCATCACTAGGTTTGACAGGCACATGAGACTAGTGGGAATTTCTCCCCTAAGATGTATATATAAGTCCAATATTCACATGGTTGTAAAATATCAAGTCTTCTTTACTTCATCATATTTATCCATATAATATCGTACAGAGTATATTTTCCAACACTTACCACGATCGGATCAGATGGTAGGGTCTGAGCCCTACCCATCGCCCGCCCTTGATCATGGAGGAGAAGCCATCCGATGAGTTTCCGGAGCGTAACCAGCACCCCGTACAGATATGGCGGATTGGATCAAGATGGCCTCCAGTGTTGCAAAGAAGAGAGGCTTAGATGGATATGCGCATCTCATGCGGTCCCGGTATCTAGGCCATGCTTGACTGGGGCCGCAGGTTTTTGAGATATTTTTCTGCGCACGCAGTTTCCACTCCTATCATTTTTTATATTGTTTTTGAGTAGAAGGTTCCGTGGAATAGATGGCCGAATTCCACGGGTAAACACTGAGCTGAATGGCTATTCATCACGGGCAATATGTCAATGATGTTACAAGTAACAAAAGAAGATGGGTACACTGTACTAGGTGTGGCCTGGGCCAGAGAGGAGCCCAATGTTCTGGGTAGTCTAAGACTCAAGAACTACAATAAAACATCATAATCGTCATCTTGTGAGTTGCAAATCTGCCAAAAAATTTTCGGTTGACAAGATCAATATTATTACCTAAAACATTTGGTTGAATTAGGAGGATGCAATTTCCCCGGGGAAATGGCAAGGCCGTTGAATTAAAGGGATTCATTCTTCGTGAGACGGCTGATATCTTGAACATAAGGTTTGACAAGATCTTGTGTTCCGATAGAAAGTGTGTCATCTATTTGCATTTCAGTGACACTAAAATTTCATCCATTGGCTATAATAGGCAAATAAAGATCAAAGCAGGAGGGTTTGATGCTGAGAATTTCCCTCAAAAACTTGCAGTAGGTACCAAAAAATGGTTACCAGCCTCTAGTAAACCGTACGGCGGTTCAAAATCCTCATGAATGTCCCTCGGTCTAGATTTAAAGCTTTTATAACCTCTGGAGCATGCCTACGGAAACTATCTCTTGTTCAAGAAATTTTGCATTGCGTGTAAGCTTGCGAGATATCAAGAAGAGATAAGACGTGATTGAACTTTCCTGTGAGAGGAATAGCAAGTG